TTCAGGATTAGTTTAAATTAGAATTGGGTTAGGGTAGGGAAGCAACATATTGCACAATTTTTTAAATTGTATTTTGTTAAATTTTATTGGAGGGGTTTAATAACTGCAGGTCATCTTCCCTTCAGAGAAGTACAGTAAATTGGCAGAGAGACACGTCAAATAAGTTAGACTTTGAAGAAAAGGGACAGAGTACTGTCGCTTCTGAGCCTTGGTGTTGGAAGAAGACTCTTGGTAGACAGCAAAATAAAGCAAAACGGTTTATAGAATAAATCAATCCAGAGTTCTCACTTGGGACACAAATGACCAGGCTCAAACAATCATATTTTGGATACATTGAGTGAAGACTTAGCTCCATTGAGAGGTCCATAATGGTCAGAAAGGTGGAAGAAAAGAGAAGAAGAGGATGATCAGCTGTTAGATACCGGTATATTGACTTGATCACAATGGTGCATCATTGGAAATCTTAAATGGTCAGGTCTATCTATGTGGTTGATAATTTGATGTACATAATTTTATTTTTTTTTATTTTTTATTTTTAATTTGATTTATATGCCGCCCTTCTCCGGAGACTCAGGGCGGCTTACAGTGCGTTAAGCAATAGCCTTCATACTTTTGTATATTTATACAAAGTCAGCTTATTGCCCCCACAAACTGGGTCCTCATTTAACCTACCTTAGAAAGGATGGAAGGCTGAGTCAACCTTGAGCCTTGGAGAGATTCGAACCAGCAGTAAATTGCAGGCAGCTGTGTTAATAACAGGGTGCTTTAAACCACTGTAGTACCAAAGCTCTTAATCATTCAAGTAGCAAGATCTCATGAGTCATTGGCATAGTTGTGCTATGTTCATATTGGCTTTCCGTCTAGAAAACATTAATCCATTGTTCACTTAACTCAAGAGAAACATAATTCTCACAAAAGAGCTGAGTAAGCTCTTTTTAGAGAGATGGCAATTGATGTTACGGCTACTAAACCTGTTCTACAAAAAACTTTATAATCACTGTTTAGAGGCAAAGAGATCCAGAAGACTAACTCTTTGCTGTCATCTGGATATCATTCCAGTATTTTCAGCCCAAATATGAAAATGCTACCTCATATTTCATAGACTTCCCACTTTTGCCTTGTTAACTATATTCTTTTTCAGTAAGGAAAAAAGATATATTTATATAAAAAAATTACAAGTGGAATATGATATCAGTATGATTCCCTGTCTGCTATCCCATGAAATTCAGAAAGCTGCATAATAAAAAAATGAGAAAATTGCAATTAAGATCATTTTTCATTTGGCTTCTTAAAATTTTCCTGACTTTAGCAAATCTTTCCTAAATGGATATCCACCAGATTATTATTCCTATTTTCCTTATTCTGGCTGGGATGACAGTTTATTATATACACATGAAGGTATCACATGGGAATATTGGCTCTAAGGAAGTGATGGCCATAGTCACTTCATTCTGCCTCCATTCTGCCTTCATTCTGCCAATTTATTTATTTATTTTATTAAATTTATGATGGTCAGCCACTTCAATAGATTCCCATATTTATCTTCATATTATTGCTATATTGCAGGGATGTCAAACACGATTTCATTGAGGGCTGCATCAGGGTTGTGTTTGACCTCGTTGGGCTGGGTGGGCATGGTGAAATTGACATCACTCATGTTGGGGGCACCTGTGGTGGGCCAGGCGGGCCTGGGGGGATTCATTGTCTCCAGTGGAGGAAGGTGAGACCAGGGAGAGCGCCAAACCCTTGTCCTCCAGAGGAGCCTCACCATCCCTCTCAGGCCACGTGGAGGTCCCCTGGACAGCAGCACAGGCAGTCCAGTGCCCTAGGCAGCAGAGGGCAAGCAAGTTTGTTTTGCTAGCACTCTGCCAGCGAAAATGGAGCTCAGGAGGGCCGCATGTGCCCCTCACAAGCTCTGTTTTTGGCTTCGACGGTCTCCTGCAGCACTCTTCCGACGAAAACAGCCGCCACTAGGTTGTAGATCAGCACCTGGTCAGCCTGGGAGGGGCCAAGGCACTGCGGGCCAGTCCTTTGCTGTTTCTAGGATGGCCTTGTAGGCCAGATTTAAGCACCATGCGGGCCAGATTCGGCCCCCGGACTTGAGTTTGATACCCCTGCTCTAGTGCTTGAATAAAAATGCTGCACAAAAATGCAGTGCTACATAAGACACACTACTGTACCAGCTACTGCATATGAACTTTAAAGAAAATGTAGGTTAATTTGGAATGAAACCATCCTTCCAGGCCTGTTGAACTGCAACTCCCACAATTCCTGTGAACCAAATCTCAATGGATGAATGTGATGGGGGCTGTAGTCCAGTGACCCTGGACTGCAGAATGGGAAAAGCTATCGTGTCTTCACGTTGTTCCTACAAAGCAATTGCGAGATGTCTGCTACATAAAGATACAGCAGGAAAAGTTTCATCTAAATCAGTGTTTCTCAACCTTGGAAGCTTGAAGATGGGTGGACTTCAACTCCCAGAATCCCCCAGCCAGCAGCGCTGGCTGGGGGATTCTGGGAGTTGAAGTCCACCCATCTTCAAGCTTCCAAGGTTGAGAAACACTGATCTAAATGATTTCAACCTAGTAAAGCTCTATAATTTTGCATAAACTTCTTGCTCATTTTTATCTCTTCAACAGCTTCTGATCACAGGAACTGTTGGACAGAAACTGGCCACCCCATTCTCGTTTTATTGATATGCTAATTACATGGGAGTTAAAAATACTCAGTCATGCTTTTCTATGGAAAAACACCATATACAAAAAAAAAAAAATCAATCAGTACCACAAAGTCTACGTTTGATCTAGGACAATCATTCCTGAAATGGATACATCAATTGCAATCTTTTATGTAGAGTTAATGTTGTGTCTCTACTCTCCCACAAGGATTTTGAACATGACTGAGACAGAGATAACAAAGCCAAGGAAAAATTCTTTGACTTTGTGATTTTCCAGTATGCACTGCAATTAATCAGTGGCAAAAGTTATAGTAGCATGTTGAGAAATTTCCTTTAAAGTTTCTGCCTCAAAACTGTTGGTTACGGGAGAGGGAGCCTAATCTTGTCAACCTAATAGAATAAATCAGTGTTTCTGAATCTTGGCAACTTTAAGATGTGTGGACTTCAACTCCCAGAATTCCCCAGCCAGTATGCTGGCTGGGGAATTCTGGGAGTTGAAGTCTACACATCATAAAGTTGCCAAAGCTGAGAAAAACTAGAATAGATGACAGGTGGATTCCTTTTCCTTGGGCCTGGATATATTGTAACTATTAGACTGATAGAAATTTTAGCTCAGAACATAAATTTCTTGCCTCCGGTCATATAGAAAAGAGTTTGAGACCTAGAGTCTGTTCATTAAATATGAAAAGTCATATTTGCTAAGCTAGGAGGATTTTTGTTTCATTCTCAAGGAAACAGTGTGGTGGAGAGATTAAACTATTGACCTAAGACCAAAGTGATGCAGATTCAGGTTGACCTTCAGTCATGGAAACTCACTGGCTGGCTGAGTTGAGAAAGAATTGGCCCAACCTACCTTCATCAGGTTGCTTTTGTGCAAAGAAAATAGGAATACATCAGGCATTGTCCATTCCTGCAGAAAAGGCAGGATCTAAATCTGAATCTAGACCTAAATTTAAATCTAAGTGATGTGAGAGAAAGGGAAATAATTAGAGTAATTGGAGATGCTAATGAATGTTTTTCTACAACTGATATTCCTTCTGTTGTACTGGACCATGACTTCTATCATCTCATTATATTTGAAAGCATTAATGCTATTTTTGTAAACTATTCAGTATTATAAATGCCTTGGCTATGTTCGTACTAGGCAGTAAGCCATGTTTTTGTTTAATCATGTTTAATGTTTATTTGGCAATTAAGTGTTGTACCTTATGATTCTTGATGAACATATCTTTTATTTTATGTACACTGAGAGCATATGCACCAAGACAAATTCCTTGTTTGTCCAATCACACTTGGCCAATAAAATTTTTATTCTATTCTATTCAAAGCATAGTTTATTTATTATATTTTCATCCCATCTTTATTACTTCATAAGTAACTCAAGGTGGCAAATATACATACTATTCGTTCTTCCCTATGCAACATGTTAACCCATGAACAATGATTTGCACATCACAGGGACCCAAATATTTCAGTACTAAGCCATAAACAAGCAAACCACAATCTGGACTAAGGCAAAGATGCAACCCAGGCCTTCAGTACTGCTGTGCTGGTCAGGATTATGAAAAGCAGAGGCAGCCTTATTATTTATGATGCAATTGAGGGAAAAGATCCTGCTGGTAACAACTCCACCCTTGTTGTTGGTAAGAGTTAATTTTGACACCAAGTGACTACATCGGTAGGTCCATGCAGTTTTCTTGGCAAGATTTTCAGAAGGGATTTGCTATGCGAAAATCCCGATATTTCTTAATTTTCCAGTCTAGGACTCAGAGCAAATGACCAGCCCAAAATCACTCAGCTGGCTTCTCAGAAGATGAAAACTCTAGTTTGTCTGCCTGCTCTTAATCCACCACCTTCAACTATCATTTATGAAGCAATTGGCGAAAGCATCCTGCTGGCACCTCTTTCAGCTTTGTAAAAAAACTACAAAAAAGTTGTAAGGCCATTCTAAGACTGAAAGGAATACTTTTTCTTTTAAGTCACGCTCTATTTCACTGGAAGGAAGCTGGGTGCACCAGCCTCCAACCAGCCTTTGTCTACTCCAAACTTTGATCCTCACTTCTCTCACATCCATTATCTCCCATAGACAAAGTGTAGGCACTAGCTAGCTGCCTTACAAGTAAAGTTGTTAAACTTCTGAACACTATGTATACCGTAAACGTAAGCAGGGCTCCAGAAACCGTGATCATTCATTTGAACCCCACTGTTAACACCAGCTCATCCCGGGTATCTGTAAGAACTGGCCTACCCCACAGGACTGTTGTGAAGATTCCCTATTTCAATGCTTTCCAGCCTTATAGAAACTACTGGTCGCGCGTCCCACCTGTAATGGTCTCCTGATAGCCTTTGGTGAAGTACTGCATGGCCGTGGCCGCCCTCCAGGGCGTCTTGAGCAGCCCCTGGCGCTGCGGGTCCTCGCCCAAGGCACGCAGGATGGTGGTGTAAGCGGCGGCCAGGCCGGGCAAGTTCATTTCGTTGTCCTCTTCGCTGCGGGTCCGCTCTTCCTTCCAGCTCTCTAAGGGATGCCCGCCAGCCGCGCTCTTCCAGCTACGGGACGGCGCTTCTCCCGAGAGACTCCGCTGAAGGGGCGGCTGCTTCTCTGCCAGCGCGTACCCGTTGCAGCTGGCGGTTCGCAGAGGCTGATCCGCCGCGGCCCGCGGCTTCCTTTTCTCCATTTGGTCAAGGCGTGCGCCCAGCCCTGGAGAGCCGGTGCTCCGCAAGAGATTCCCGGGCACGCTGGAAAAGGAGCAGAGACCAGAGGCGGACCTTGCTAGAAGTTGAAAGTGGGGTGGGGGTGCGGGGTCGGTCACCCACTCCCCAAGAAACTATTCGAGCAGTAGGGAGGAGTGAGAGGCTTGTTGGCGTGGGAAGGGGCGTTTCCTGGCAGCAGCACGTGCGCCCAGCCCGGAGTCAAAGGAAACGTCTGGCCTCAGTCCCGCGTGTCCCGTGGCCGACGTGGGAACGGATAACTTGAAAAAAAATCGCGTTTAAATGCACCGGCCGACCTCCCTGTCTGCTGTCCGCGCTGTCCGCGGCCAAAAGGCTTCCTTCTTCCCCCTCTGACAAGCAGGGCAAGAGGACAAAAAGGCCGCCGGCGCCCCACAGAGACTCTCGCTATGCGCTCCACACCCTCCGGCTCCTTCTTTGCAAGGCGGCGCGCCTCACTTTATACATCGCCTGGGATCGGTCCCGGGCATGGCGCGCCTCTTTCATTGGGCATCTCTGCCCGTGCGTCACCCCGCCCGGCAGCCTCTCAGAGGCTCGAGCGCCGGAAGCTGCAGGCGGCATAAAGCTTGGCGAGCGCTTCTCCTGTGGCGAGAGGACTCGCCGGTAGCCGGGAGGAGGAGACGCCCCGGTCTCACAGCCGCGGGGTGGCAGATGGTTCTCAGAGCGGCTTTAAATTGGCTGAGTTATAGGAAAGCGTGGCCGCCTTCTGGGAAAATACTTAAATAATTAGTCAACCTTTGGGACCGTCACCGGGTTGTTATGTGACAACACTGACCCAAGCCATTTTGTGAAGGGAAGGACCAGGGGAGACATGATAGCAGTGTGCCAATATTTTGAGGGGCTGCCACAGAGAGGAGGGGGTCAATATTTTTTTCAAAAGCACCTGTAGGCCAGACAAGGAATAATGGATGGAAACTGAAATAAGGAGAGGTTTAACCTGGAAATAAGGAGACATTTTCTGACAGTGAGAACAATCAACCAATGGAACAGCTTTGCCTTCGGAAGTTGTGGGAGCTTCATCACTTGAGACTTTCAAGAAGAGATTGGTCTGCCATTTGTCAGAAATGGTGTAGGGCAGTGATTGCTAACCTTTTTGCCATTGCGTGCCAAAAGCGTGGGGAGCGTGGGGGGGGGGTTGCGTGCATGCCCACACCCATAATTCTATGTACCCCTGCTCATGCGCGCGTGCCCCCCACTTTTGGCACGCAATGGCATGGTGGGCCCGTTTTTCACCTTCCCCAGGTTCCAGAGGCTCTCTAGGAGCCTGGGGAGGGTGACAACAGCCTCCTCCAACCCCCTGGAGGTCCTCCGGAGGCCGGAAACAGCCCATTTGCCAACTTCTGGTGGGACCGGAAGGCCCGTTTTTCACTTTCCCCATGCTGCAGAGCCTTTCTAGGAGCCTGGGGAGGGTGAAAATTGCCTTCCCCACCCCCCGGGAGGCCCTCCAGAGGCTGGAAACAGCTCATTTCCTGTCTTCTGGAAGTCTACAAACTGAGCTCGTGTGCCCACCGATATGGCTCTGCATGCCACCTGTAGCATGCGTGCCATAGGTTCACCATCACGGGTGTAGGGTCTCCTGCTTGGGTGGGTGGGTGGGGGTTGGACTAGATGACCTACAAGGTCCCTTCCAACTCTGTTAATCTGTAATTGTGTTTGTGGTTTAGCGGGAGGATAAATCAAGCATTAGTTATGCCTTCTCATACACTGGCATAATTTTGTCTTTGCTCTTCAGGTTGCTGCCACAGGATGGTTGAGGATTCCTTCATCCTATCTATCATTTTTCTCCTATGCGGCTGTAAATTCAGATGTCACCCATTGTACACCTATAATGTATATTGCAAAACACTATATATATATACTGGTATCATTCTATTTATTGATTTTGGGCCCTTCTGACCATTAATCTTGTTCTTAACGTCTTAGCTTTTCTCTTCTCAAGTTTGGAGCCAACTGCAGATTGAATGAGCATCCCTCTGTATATCTAATTTTTAAATAAGTTACAATAGAAAAGAACTTGATAGGACCCTCAATTGTTCTCCCAGTTGACAAAGAGTAATTGAGAAACAATGTCATAACTATTTAGCTTGATTTTGTACAATATTATACTGAAAGCTTGAAAATGTTTCAGTGGCAATTATAGAAATGACTTACACATTCATAAAATAGGCACTAAGCAGCAGCTTAGCCAAGGATGATCACGTTGTGGTATTGGTTAAAGCATTAGAAACCACGAGATTATGAATTCTAAACCTGCGGTAGGCATAAAAACAGCTGAGTGATCTTGAGCAGTCTCACCCCCACCTTAGGAAGAAGAAAGCCATGGTAAACTACTTCCAATGTAATGGTAATAACGATTGATTGATTGAAACAACTTCCAAAATCTTACCAAGAAAACTGCAGGGATTTGTCCAGGGCCAAGCAGTTATCAGGAGTCAAGATTGAATGGGAGTGTCAGGTGTGCCTCCATTCAAAACTCAAGAAAGGAAAACCCCAACTCCATGTTTGTAGAGAAAGATACTTTTACTGAGCATGAACTAAATGCAATGAAAAGAAAGCAAGATCTGAGTCAATAGGTACAAAAATTACATATTGAAAGTATTCCCAAATCCCTCCCCTCAAGGACCTTGGCTGAATGTCCAATCCCCAGCTCCCCAAGGCATCATGTGAGGTGCATCTTCAGATGGTCCCATCCATCTGGTATGCCAGATCAGTTGACCTTGACTGGCTATCAACAAGTCCATTTAGCTGCGCTGAAGACGATGAGAATTTTCCTCCCTTTCGATCACATCAGGAGACATCTCCACCAGCTTGCTTCTCCCTCCCAAATACCTATACATCCCCCCCTCCATTACTATGGCAGCTGAAAGCAAGCAAGCATCATAGAGGCTGGCAGGGAGGGACCCAACATTTTTTTTAAAAAGTGCCTTAGCCAAAGCTTAACCTGGCAATTGCCACTTAATTATAATTTCCTTGTAAGAAGTTGCATTTACATTTTCTGTTCAGGTGTTCTTCCAGCCTGGTTACAGATAGAAAGAAATATATGTGTTGTGGCCTGCGTGAATCGTGGCTGATCCCGACGATGAGGAGGCTGGTGTAGGGTTGCGCCAGCATCCGGCACAGCGGGTGCTCGCGTCAGACAGCGAGGAGGCTGAAGAGGACGTGGTGCCAGAGGCAGAGACTCAGCCAGGGCCTTCAGAACCTCCAGAGGCTCCTTCAAGTGGAGAGAGCGAAGTGGAGGAGCCTCTCCTCAATGCTCGAACACGCAGGGCTGCCAAAAGGCAGGAGTGGCTACTCAGGAGGAGGAGGTCTCCTCGAGAGTAAGGTTTGAGGATAATTGGCCACTCCCTTAGCCTATTTAAATCGCATGCAGTTAGTAATTTCTTGCTGGAAACAACGTGTAATTATTAAAGAGCAGTTTGGATAGTGAGTGTCTTATCGTATCTTGTTCTCTGGGCTGGTTGCAAACCTTTGCCAGACTTTGTTTATTCTTGGTACATTATAATTTTGATAAGGACCATTGGTGTGTGTCACAATCCTTGGGAATCCGGAGCTGGGGCAGAACAATATGTGTAATGTGTACCTGAGATATAGTTATTTACCTATATTAGAATAACAAATACTTTTAAAAATTATTTTATTTGTAACATGACTCCAGGTAAATACCATTCTTGCAAATCATCATCATCATCAATTTGCATTAGAAGTATGTTAGCTTCAGCTGAGTGAAATCTAATAATGTTTACAACCTGTTGATATTCTTGGAACTCAAGTTAGTTCTCCATTGGTCATTTCAAATTTGATGAAATTTAAAGGCCTTTATTTCTTCTGCTTCTGTGATGGCTTGGTTTTTTGCATACAGAATAACTGAGTTGGAAGTGACCTTGGAGATCTACTGCAAGCCCCTGCTGGAGATCCTATATTATTCCGGACAAATGACTGTCTAATTTCTTCTTAAAATCCTCCAGTGTTTGAGCACCCACAACTTCTGAAGGCAAGCCATTCCACCGATTAATTGTTCTCACTGACAAGGAAATTTTTCTTAATTCTTTGTTGGATTTCTCTTTGATAATTTTCAATCTGTTACTTCTTGTCTTGACCTCAGGTGTTTTGTCCCCCTCTTTGTGACAGCCTCTCAAATAAGTCACATATCATGTCACCTCAAGTTCTTCTCTTTGTCCATTGTATCTGATCACATGATCAGAATTATAATCCTCATATCCATCAGAAATGATAATCACCAATTTAGAAAGAATAAAAATTCATAGAGAGCATAAGACAGTGAGTGGGAAATATTCAAAAAGATACTAAGTTTACATCTATGATCAAAGGAACAAGAACAACTTGACACAATTGGGCTCATATCCTATTTGTGGGCTTGCCATAAATGTCTAATTGGCCATTGTAGCAAATAGGAGTCATTGGATCATCTGTGGATAATAGTTCAATCCAATTTAGAACACTTTCTGTGGCATTGGGGGAGGGGTGGATGGTGGATGGGAAGTTTCAAAAAAATTGAGTTAGTGGTTATGGCTAGAAGATCAAACTCCCACCACTTTTGAACATGCACCTACAAAAAGACTGAACTTCAGTCACACTGCCACAATCACTATCTTGCCTTTTTTTAAAATTTCCCCTACAAATGCCACTATAAAAAAAATAAAATAAATATACTTTCTCACTACTTAATTTTGAAATATTTTTTCAGTGTTACATATATCAGAACATTACAACTGAATCTTTATTTTGAGGCGCAACTGGGTTTTTTTCTACAGAAGCATCATAACAAACTTAAAAGAAATCATGACACCTTTAAAAACAGCAGTAGAGAATCCTTCCTTCTATAGCTCCTGCCCATCAGTCATGGTCAGCATTATGGGCTGCCACATGGAAGAGCTGAAATTGTAGGTTGTCAAAAAGGCAGAGTCAATGAAATGTCACAAATGCATATGAGTGCCCAAGGCTGGTGAGGAAATGAGTCACTAATAGAATTAAAAAAGAAAAAAGAAAATAACAGCAACTGGCCAGCTTGAGATTCAGAAAAGTTTGCAATCAATCTGCAGCTGAAGTTAATGCTGCTGCAAAGGAATAACAGCTAAGAAAGAAAAATGAATAAAATAATAAGAGCTAAGAATCAAATTGTACATAGTCAAGATAACAGAATACCAATGGCTGGCTAAATTATTTCGGCAGGGAAGAAACAACAGTAATAATGATAACAATGACTGTAGTAACAAGCTATTTGATGTCCTACTCATTACTACCAATGCTCTAAGTCAGAGGGAAACTATACACTTATCTGCTGACTGCCCTCCATACCCCACCCCAAACTCTCTATTTAAAACTAGGTTTAAAAGGTTGGGGGGGGGGAGCAAAGTGGACTTAAAAAAAAACCATAGATGTCATGTTCTAGATGTCATGTTCTGGATGGCAA